CTGTGCGGCTTTGGGGGAATCACTTACGATGATGCCAACCTGGAAGACGTTGCTAGCCATGCTGTAGTTGCCGGCGACAGGAGGCTTGAGCTCTCCCTGGCCGATGAACCGATTCTTATTCCCGTTGTTGTTGAAACCCATGAAGCTATTGAACTCGTCCCACTCTTGACAGAATTGCTCCTGCAAAATTATAAGTATTCTTCCCGATCGTGGCTCAGTGACACTCATGGTCTTACCGGTACAAAGTGACCAGATTTTCCAGTACTCCTTAACTGCCAGAACTTTCTCTCGCTATTGTGAGTCGTGTCAGTGTGCCGTGGCAGGAGAAATAACCAGAAAGGGGACCTAGAAGACTTACGAAAAGGCGTTAGGGTTCTCCTCAAGGAGACTAAAGTCCTGCATGAGGCCGAAATCGCCAATCTAGAAACAGTCAGCAAAGAATTCTGGAGAAGAAAACAGCGCAAGACTGACTTTGAACGTAGGCCTGCCTTTATGGCCTCGGCCCATGTGGTTTACGAAGACTAGCGAGACTCAGCGTGCGAACAAGGGAATTGGAGGGCGACAGCAGGCTGACCATTATTAGGATCGAGGTCAAAGTGCGTTCTTTGTCGTACCTCGGGTGCTGGAGATGGAGGCACAGTCTCATCAGTCACCTTGCCAGGCTGATCACTAGCTTCGCCGTGAGGAGCGTACGCCATGCCAATCAGACCCCGCGTCACTACAAAAGAAGGTCAGAACATGATAATACCACCAAATCAAGAGTGTCAAACATACGACACTCGAGAAGTTGCCACAGCGCCTTGTTCGGCCATGGGCCGAGTTTGGAATTGGGATCGGCAGCATGAGCACTGGTCCTCTGAAGCCAAGTGAGCAGATTCCCCAGCTCTGCATATTCCATCATGACAAAGTTTCGCTTCCAATCCGCTCCGATATTGAGTCTGTCCTTGTACTGTGAAGGTGGTTTGCGGCTGTTTCCCTTTTTGGAGCGACGGAGATTCTTGAAGTACCGCGTGTTACGGTCATACTGCACAATGTGCTTGCAGCCCTCGAAGTCCTAGTTTCAATTCATCAATCCCGAGGCTCTCCATGAGGTCAGCTCTGTGATTCTTACTTGCAGAAGACCTTCTTCCTTCTCAACGTCATTGATGTTCCTCCTGTCTACTTTGCAGACGGACTGGTAGGGCTGGCCTCCATTGACGGCCGGCACGTTGACAAGACCCGCGATGCCACGTCCGCTGACACCGAACAGCTTCTCCAGGGTGATGCCCATGCCGACATTGGCGCCCTTCTCCTCATCGCGTTTGCGCTTTCTGTCCCTGACAGCGGCCAGATCAGGCTCCTGTAACGCTTCGACCAGCTGATCTATGGGCCTTCCCTGGCCTGCGAGGAGGGATGGAAACTTGCTGTTGAGCTTTCGTGGCGCCAATGTACCATCTGCGTTCATAGGTCGCGTTGCCTGCCCTCTATATCGAGCAGCATCTCCGCACTCAAGGTTCCGCCGGACCAGACCTGTGGGATCATCCTCATCAGCGTAGACTGATTCAACCCGCTTGAGGTGGCCTGGGGCTCTGCCATAGTTGGTAGCCATGTTAGATGATGGGAGTATTACTTCGAATTCCAACAGTTTGGTTTTAGCGTTCTGGCGCGACATGGTCGGTGTCATCCCACAGGAGGAAGAGGACGTGCGACCTTTATGTGAGAGTGGGCATCACGAAGAAGAGAATGAGGATGATAGTGAGGACGATAATGAGTATTCCTTTGCTGGATGGTAACTCTCATAATGGAAAGAAAAAAAGGATGTGCGGTTTTGGAACAAAGGTAGGGACGGATTCTTTCTGGGCCATAGGTACAAGACATGACTGCGGCGAGCATGCTACTCCGGATGAGGGGGCCATTATCCTGACGCTGGCCGACCCGCGAGTAGTTGACAAGGCTGTGGTGTGCAATGTAGCTCATCCACCTGGGCGGTTCTTGTAAGCGTTGAAGACAAGGGCCTGTGGAAGGAGACGGTCAGTGACAAAGAGCTACCCATTCCAAGGCAGGAAGAACCTCGAGGCTTTGACCACTCGCATAGAAAGGGTAGTAGCCGATTGGGCTGAAGCCCTGAGGATGCATCAAGAGGGTGTATGGCTACCAACAGTTGTTGTGTTGTCGAGTCAAGGTCAGGTGGGCAGGACACACCGAAGCCAGCTTAGCGGGGTCCTGCCACAGTCAGTCAGGCACATAGGGGAGGGTGAGCACGTTGGTGACATCCGGGAAATCTTGCGAGGAAACTGCTAGATGATTCGGGAGCGTACCGGATAACCCCCCCCAAAACGCATTTAGGTCGGGAAGAACCCCATAACGGACTAAACGCTACCTCACCTGCGCCCACTCACCCACTCGCTGGCTCTCCCCCCCCCCCCCCACTGACCGAAGAGGGTCCCAGCGCTGGAGAGCCCCCCATTGCCCCCCAACTTTTGCCATATTCCAGGGCCCACAGCTAGGGAATGGCCAGTGCTGGTGCTACCTTACCTACAGCCATTTCTCGCCCACTTCACGCCCCGTGTCCCAGGCCGTATAGCCAGGCACCAGGCCGTCGTGCGACGATAATCCGCGAGGCGAGGCAACCCTGTGGGTACCTGAGATCTCCCGGTGACTCTCCGGACGTTGCGGGCTCGGGTGTCGTAATGACTGGCTGGCTCAGATCCGGAGCGACTTGACAGTTCCGGAAGGGGCTGTCGAGATACAACTGACTTGACCCATGGCCCGAAGCAACCAAACTGTCTCTTCATGATCGTCGAGGGACTCGTCTTTTATTATCAGAACCTGGCACGGCAGTTCGCCCAAATGAGGGGCGAGGTGAACCCTCCATGTTGTCGCTTCTCCTCAGAGACGTACAACCTGTTTTTTTAAAGGGGCATCCTCCAGCGCAGAAGTCCGTCCAGTCAACGATGGCCAAACCCGCCGTCCACGTGCTGGTGCTGTCAAGTGATGTACAAAGGTACACATTTGATCCGACGTGAGAGGGCTGCATCTTGCGTCCCTCATGCCTGGCTGGAAATTAAGCCAATTGCGCCGAGTTCCGGCTCCCAGAACGGTCCGCCCTGGCCGGGATAACAGGGCGGAAGCTACGTTTTAGTCCAGGTGCTTTTGCCAGGGGGGAGGGGGTTGCTGTGGTTCTGCGCCAGAGTTCCATACTAGTGGACATGTACATGTACACCAGGGACGAGACGGGGCTGCTCAAAAAAAAAAGAAGGGCAGCCATCACAAGTTTGGATGTGCCCCCCGACGGGTTAAACGCGCGAATGGGGACTCCCCCTCTTTCCCCGTCCCACATTGGCCCGGCTCTGGCCTTTACCAGTATTAGCCATGCCAATCAGTAACATTGTCGCCTGGCAAAAAGGGACGGGAGGCCACAGACTAGGGACATTCTACACTAGCACATGGACCAGGTGCCGTCATCTCTCCTGCGCGAGCAGCCCGTCTCGCGCATCCCACCATCGTCACCGGGCCTGTCGTGGTGGGCGTGCCCAGCAACGCCCGCGGCGGCAGTGAGGGATGAGGGGCAACCGGGACAAAAGGCAGGCCCGTTGGGTTGGAAGGGGGGGCGTGCGGGCAGGCAAGCGGGCGCGATGGAGGGGAAAAAGGGAATGATGACTTGCTTCACGCCAGGCTATTGAAGGAGGAAGGCAGGATTTGATTTGAGAAGAGGTCAATTATAAATATCTACTTACACATCTGCTCCATCCCATCGACCGTCCGAATCCCTTCCTCCTGATCTTCCTCTTCCTCTCTCCTCATTCTCTCTACCACTTGTGATACCCCCCCTTCTTTCGACAGAAAGACCAACAAACTTCTACAACCAACCACTACCTCTCCTCTCCCTTCGTCTCGCCTTCACAGAAACACCGTCAAAATGGCCAACATTCCCAACGTTAAGCTGAACTCGGGCTTCGACATGCCCCAGGTCGGGTTCGGCCTGTGGAAGGTTGACAACGCCATTGCCGCCGACACCGTCTACAATGCCATCAAAGCTGGATACCGTCTTTTCGACGGCGCTGCTGGTACGTCCTTGCGACCCCTCCGCAGCTCCTTGCATGGTGTGGCGAGGGAGAAGGGAACACAAGCACAGCGAAACGTCGTGACGGCGCCCCAGAGAATCCTGCTGTACGCTGCATGGCCAGGCAGAACGTCAATGGCTCGGGTTGGGAGCTCTGGCCGCGACCGTCATGATCCGTCAAAGCTGCATCCCACCTTCCGCGTCGCGACTTTTTCGGTCGAATTTACCCCTCCTTTTACCCCACCATGCACCCCCTACTACGTAGTGCACTGCACCGCTGTACCGCCGCGACCCCCTGTGTCCGTCAGTCTTGGCTGTGACGGTGCCCCCTGTCGCCCCCCACTTGTACTGCCCCTCTTTACCTTACCTGGTGCCCTTCACAAAGGCTCAACAGCGTCATGCGGGGCGGCATCACCAATTGTCATTTTTTGGGCTTCACCAATGCTTTTCACCTTGCTCTAAAGTTCACATCAAGTACCGACGAACAAGAAGCTGACATGTCTAGACTACGGCAACGAGGTCGAGGTTGGCCAGGGTGTCGCCCGCGCCATCAAGGACGGTCTCGTCAAGCGTGAGGAGCTCTTCCTCGTCTCTAAGCTCTGGAACACCTTCCACGACGGCGACAAGGTCGAGCCTATCGCCCGCAAGCAGCTTGCCGACCTTGGCATCGACTACTTCGACCTCTATGTCATTCACTTCCCCGTTGCCCTCGCCTGGGTTGACCCCGAGGTCCGCTACCCTCCCGGCTGGCACTTCGATGGCAAGTCGGAGATCCGCACCTCCAACGCCTCCATCGCCGAGACTTGGACCGCCATGGAGTCTCTCGTCGAAAAGGGCATTGCTCGTTCCATCGGCATCTCCAACTTCCAGGGCCAGCTCGTCTACGACCTCCTGCGCACTGCCAAGATCAGGCCCGCCACCCTCCAGATCGAGCACCACCCGTACCTCGTCCAGCGTGACCTCATCCGTCTTGCGCAGAACGAGGGCATCGCTGTGACCGCCTACTCCTCTTTCGGCCCCGCCTCCTTCGCCGAGTTCGACTTCCCTCATGCCAAGAAGCTCGAGCCCCTCCTCAAGCACCAGCTCATCACTTCCCTTGCCGACAAGTACGGCAAGGCTCCCTCTCAGATCCTCCTGCGCTGGTCTACCCAGCGTGGCCTGTCCGTCATCCCCAAGACGAACCGCGCCGAGATCCTCGCCCAGAACCTCGACGTCACCGGCTTCGACATCTCTGAGGAGGACATTGAAAAGATCTCCGCCCTCGATATCAACACCCGCTTCAACCAGCCCGCCAACTACTTCCCCACCGAGAAGCTCTGGATCTTCGCCTAAATGCCATGTCCAGTCACGTATCCACACCAACCCACTCCTCACCGATTATACTCACTCCTACCCACTTAACGACTTACATCCTTTTACCCGCCTATGGGAACCGGTCCAATGAGGCCCTGCCGGCTGAGCCGGGCCTCCGGTTCTGTTGCTCACGGGACTGCCGGAGGCGGTCATCTCTTGCAAAAAGAACGCAGAAACGGAGGGGCATAGAAATTCCGCTGCGCTGTTGCTGGTTGTATCTAGAGAGGCATGACTGTGATCTGCCGACATCGAATACAAGGTCTTTTGAAACTTTAAACATGGTTCATCGGAGCTAGCTCCTCCGTCCTGCATATCCCTTCCTACATTCCCATGCATGTGATCATGACGTGGTATTCGCCAACGTTGCAACGGGACACACTTGCAGTAACCCCGGTCGGGAAGCCGCCTCTCTACGAACTATGCCCATTTATTCCACCTTCCTGAACGCCTTGCCCAATGCTCGTGGTATCGTTTCCATTACTTTCTTGTACGTCAACTCATATTTTTTCTTTTTTTAATGCATCACGTCTTGACAAAAGCTGCAAAAGGCAGGTAGGTCAGTTACACCATCTTGCACGGCGGGGATGGGTGTTTCGGGCAGGGCTGAACTCACTGGCATCTATCTGCGATAACTGCGGCAGCGCCAGGCGGACCTTGTTCCTGTACACGGCGGGGCCCCTTAGCTGGAGCGGGTTGCCCTCAAAGTAGACGGTCGTCAGCCCCGCCTTGTCGCGCAGCTCGCGCTCTACCTCGTTAAAGTCGGCAATCTGGTTGTAGCTGGCCCAGAACTCCTCGAGGGCGGCCAGTGGTGCGAGGCCCTGGACCGAGGCGACGGCGTTGTTGGAGATGTCGAGCACGCGGAGGGCCTTGTTGGCGGCGAGGCCGTCGAGGGAGGTCAGGGCGTTGTGGGAGATGTAGAGCTCCTCGAGGCCCGTGACGTCCGCGAGAGGGCTCAGGTCGCGGATGCGGTTCGACTGAATGCTCAGGAGGCGGAGCTTGGGCAGGGCGGCGAGGCCGTCGAGGGCGGTAATCTTGTTCTTGGCGACCCAGAGCTCCTCCAGGTTCTGCAGCGCGTCGAGGTTCTCGAGGGTGCGGATGCGGTTGGAGCCGAGCTCGAGGCTCGTCAGGCCCGTCAGGGTGTCGAGCCCCTCGATCTTGCTGATCTTGTTGGCGACGAAGAAGACCTCCTTGAGCTTGGTCAGATGGCTGATGTTCTTGATGTGCTTGATCTTGTTGAAACTGAGGTCGAGGCTCGTCAGGTGCGTGAGCTCGTCGAGGCCGCGGATGTGGCTGATGAGGTTGTCGTAGAGGTCGAGGTCCTGCAGCGTCGGGGCGAGCGCCGCGAGGCCGTCGATGCTCTGGATGCTGTTCTGGCGCAGGCAGAGGCGTATCACCTTTTGGAAGCGCTCGAGGCGGAGAGCGGGGATGGAGCCCACGCGCGAGTGAGACACGATGATTTCGTCAATGTCCGGGTCCTCTCCGTCTAGGAGATCTGGAGAGGCGGGAAAGCCCGTGTCAGCAATGTGCCGTCATTCTCAGTTTGTCACGGTCCCCGGGCACACGGTAGTAGGGGGTTTCGTTATGTACCTTCGTCTGCGGGCAGCTCCTCGCCAGGCAAAACATTCTCATCGTCAGACTCGGGTTCTGATTCGAGAATCTCCGGGTTCGCGAGCGTGGCGGTGCGCTCGACACGCAGCTTTCCGTCCCAGCCCTTGCTATTCCTGATGCCGGGACTTGACTGATCTTCGGCCTTGGGTGATGTGGTGCCTTTGTCAGGGAGCGCAATGTGTGGTGAGGCTGGCCTCTCGGTTTCCTCGGAGCCTGCCATGGCACTGAAAGGCGGGGTTGACGGCGGCGAGGGGTTGCTGAGGGTTTGAATGGTAAGGAGTCGATGTTTTCGCTCGCGTTGGTACGTGATGCAAATGAAGTATGTTGAAAGCGTAGACCTGGCAATTTGCAACCACGGGCAAGTGAAAACGGGTAACGATGTGGACGGACGGGTGATGTTATTTGTTTTGAGTAGAGGAGAAAGGCGACTGTCGATGGATTAATCAGGTAATCCGGTACCAGAAGGAAGTGGCATGTGTGTCTGGCGGGGCACGCTCGACGTGGTCGGCCCAATGGCTTGGCCCGACAATCGACCCCTCTCTGATGACGGCTGTGCTATCCAGCGCATTCCAGGCCTTGCTTAGCGTGCCCCCAGCACATCAACTCTAGCCTACCCCTTCGTCACGACCGCTCTCTCTGTTCATCGTGATGGCATAGTCCACACTAAATACAAGGCCGAATTCTACCATTGAGACAGGTTTGATGAGTTTTTGGCCGCCGCGGAACAGACAGAGAAAAACCTAAGGCCAATGTACGACCACAGCCACTGTCAAGCCTGATGCCCAGCTCGTGGGAAACTGGCACAATGTGGTTCAAGATATGCTGCCGCTCACTCTGATAAGGTCAATTCTCTATACCACCTGATGTAGTGCTCAATAAACACCATAACGGGGGCACCGAGCCGGTACTGTCTCTTACGAAGCAAAGTTAGATGAAGGCTTCCTTAGACCATGCTCAAGCCCCAGGTCTCTACATATGAAGATGCATGGGCTAACGCAGAACCCGGCATCCCGACTGAAAAGAGAGACCGATAGGCGCGAGATTCGAAGGCCAGTCTGGGTCCGTTGCTTCAAGCTCTCCTCGTTCTCAGTGTGAGCTCAACATGCCCTATATAAAGGTACAGCAATGAGTGGGCGCGGTTTTATCAGGTACAACAGTCACGATAGCACAGAAAAGGATGTCAACATCAACCGAGCGAGATGGAGAGCTCCGGATGGGGAGTCAATTGCTTTCAGGACGACAGATGCTTGATTATGATTTGAGGCCTGGGTTGCGCTTCTGAACCATTGCAAAATTGGAGGACCTTCATACCAACGACTTCTCAGATATCCTGTAGTCGGCAGGGCCTGAGAGCAACGGGGCCAGAGCTGGGTAATCCTTGTCGAACTGTCCCACCTTTACCAGTTGATAGCCCAATTTAGAGTACCAAGCGTTCATTCTTGTTTTGAAAGGGTGCTCCCAAGTCGTCGGCACGAGAAGCTCAAGCTGCATAACTTCGCATCCTTGGGCTCGGCTGTGTTCTTCGACGAACTGGATGAGCTTTCTCCCTAAGCCTGAACCTTGGTAGGCCGCCCCTAACGCCAACATGCCGAATGCACTCCGTGTTGGTGACATGGCCTTCAACGACACACAACCTACAGGTTCACCTGTTGGATCCCGAGTGGCGGTCACGAGTTGGCCAGTGCGGATGAGACCTGCAACCTCAGTTGGGGTTGTTCGTTGGTAGCCCGTAACGAACATTTCGCTTTCGGTCTCGGCATATGCCTTGTTGACAACGTCAACAAGGCCGTTGACGAAGTCGAGTCGTTCAGCATCCGACGCTGGAGGGAAGCCGATAATGACCGGGTCATTTTGCTGTGCGGAGCCCATTTTGCGGGGTGAGGTGAGAGATGTTATTGAGAACCTGATTGTTTGATGAGTGGAGTTTGTTTGAGAGAGTTTTCCGCATCAGGTCTCTTGACAGAAGATGAAGACACGTACGAGCATTGTGTTCGGCTCAAGTCCTTCCAGCAATGGTGGTGGTTAGTCTATGCTCAAATGGTGGAAGTCGACAGCAGCGACACATGCACTTTAGTGGGGCACCCCAGGTCAGGATTGGAGCTCGACTCCCAGCGTGTTCTATTGAACGAAACCATCGTAAGCTCACAACAATGTTGCTCGCACCGCTCACTCGAAACGTTGAATACCGAGACCTTCTATCTACGATGCCGTTCTTCTGAACGACTGCCCTTCCGAGCGAATCCTTCACACCACGGACCTCCGTCGAACGACCCGGACCAATGTCGGACAACAGCGCAAACAACATCGAGGGGAAACAATGGCAAGGATGGCACTGAAGGCGGTGCGCGCCTCTGTTTGCCATTCGAATGCTTCTAGAGTCTCAAGCTGCACAGGCTCCTCCTCGCTGCGATGCACCACGCCTCGCGCTGTTCTATCACCAGCGCGCTTCACCATCTTGCCCCGGACTCCCAAACGACACCTACAAACACAAGTCTTCTGGCTCCCGCCACTCATGTTCGTCGGGCTTTTGGGCTCGCTCTGGATATGGAAATGCATGATGATGGTGGTGTTCCAGAACAAGATCATATACATGCCGGGTCTGCCGCCGAACGCACGTCGCGAGCGCATTGAGGACTACGCCCGACAATGTGGAGGCATATCATGGCAGGCGCGTAGGATACGAGCTGCCGATGGCACGGATCTGTCCGTTTGCATGACGAGTGTAGAGTGCGGTGGCTCAAAAGCTGGCGCATCGTCACATGCTGCTGGGCGCGGCCTTGCAACTCCGGGTTTACATTCTCTACTTTCAGGGTTTGTCCCACTCCATCCGTAATGGCTAGCAAGTGCTGACCTACCGCAGGGAATGCGTCATCTCTACCACCTAGGTTGCAGGATCTATCCTGGGTCTTGAGGGTACTGCAAGGCTCGAGCCAGCCGGCACACTATACAATGGTGTGTTTGAGTTACAGAGGATACTGGACATCGCGTGGGCGCCCGTCCGAGAAAGGCATCAACCTTGACGCACAAGCCGCGCTTCGATTTGTCGGCCAGATCCATGCAGAGTCTTATGGAGAGGATGGTCCAAAGCCACTCATCGTCTTCTGGGGTCAGAGCATCGGGTCTGGAGTCGCGACGAACCTTGCTGCTTGGGAGGAGTGTTCAAAGTCTCTAAAACCCGGCGCCCTTGTCCTCGAGACGCCTTTCACATCCATAAGGGCAATGCTGTTGGCGCTATATCCTCCTAAATGGGTCCCTTATCGCTATCTTTGGCCTTTCCTTCGCAACCATCTGGATTCCTTGAAGAACTTTGAGATGATAGCTGCGCGTCGGGGCGATACGACAGGTGAACCATACATAACACTGATAGAGGGGGGTAGGGACGAGCTGGTCCCAGCGGAGCATGGAGCTCAGTTGCAACAACGGTGTATCGAACTCGGATTGCCGGTAGAGAAGAAGACGGTACAAGGCGCCTTTCACAACGATGTCATGTTCCGTGCCGAGGGCCGGAAGGCCGTGGCAGAGGCCATTGAGAGAGCGGTTGTGGCTCGAGCGCAAGTGCGAGACGAGGCCTAAATGCACAGTCACTTGCCACACACAGGAGGATCATGGAAATCGAGGTATCACAAATGGGCTTGTGAAGAACGTCACATTGTTCCGCTGTGTACTGCAGGATCGGGCATCATCAGCCATTGACCAGTCATGTTGCTGTAGTGGCCCAGGGCGACCCAGCATCACGAACATGCAACGCATTTGCATTAGTTCTTGACGCCCCACCCCTGAGTGGCGGACTCCTGTTGATCCCCCTAGGTTTCCAAGGTGGGTCGTTAGAGTGCTTCCTCCATCGCTGGGGAAGTGTTCACAATCGAAGTTCATGGCACCGTACAACATGAACTGCCGAGACTTGTCGCACGCTCACCTGGTCAATCGAAGCTCGGGAAGATCCAATTGACTCATTCACAGTGAACAATGTATTCACGCTGCTATCCTGGGGGTTCCGAAGCCTGTGGCGAGTCCCATACATGTTTGCTTCTTCTCATCAACTTTTTTTCTTGTTCACGGTTGATGGTGGGAGCTTGGACACTTTACGTCGCTGCTCTTATGGGGGTTTCATTTCGGCCACCACACTAGGAACTTCCCCTCAGGCAGTGACTTCTAGGCAGAGCCGGGTTCATCATCTCCCGTAGCAAGTACTCTCCCGCTTGTATATCACCCAAAGTGACTTGGACGAGGCAAGTAATGCCACCCAGCCCCCTGAGATCTGACTCGCCTGATCCCTGTCACCAGCAAACGAGGCAGCCGGCGTGGAGGCGAAGACCAGGCGCCATCGAGTTCAGGCACCACCCACCCCTGGCTACAGTGCACTTCTGATCCCTGCGAAGGGTCACGTGTTTCCGCGCCATTATCCCGTTGATCCTGGCGCGTCCTCTCTTCGGCCAGACGCGTCCAATAACGTTTCCCTCACCACGCCAGCTGATAAAATGGCGAGGCATCACGGCAGCATGGATCGCTGCGTGCGTGCCTCCGTCTGTGCATGGTTCCCATGGGTTTCGTATTTATAGGATCGCACCCCTTCTTGCCTGGCAAAATTCCTCTTGCTCTTCCCCTCATCAAGTCGTCGCCTCAGGTAGGTCATTTTTATGATTAGACATCGACACAACCAGGAAACACACGACAACAATTTATTGATCTCTCTGTATACTTTACTTATTATCCGGCCTTTGATTTAAATTGAATTTTCGGAGTTTGAGTCGGATATCGCCAAATCGCAACCATGTTTTCCTCCCGCCGCTTCGATCCCCCTCCCACATCGAGCAGCAACAGAAGCTTCTCGAAGCACCACAAGGCCAATAAATCGAGCTCGTCTTTCAGCAAGACCAGCGGTGTATCGAAACACCGGACAGAGCAACGACAAAGCCGCCGGCCGACCACCGCATCGACAGCCGAGGATGGCTCACCCAACAGCAAGTAAGTCTCGCAGACTCATCTGCCTTTCGCACCCAGGTCATCACTAACGCCCTTTTCATCAGCAACCTTACGTCTGCCATCGTGACCCTCGTCGTCGGGCTTGAACAACGTCTTTTCGCCGCTCACGAAGATGTTCTTTGCTCATCCCCCTTTTTCCAGAATGCCCTCCGTGGCAACTTCATGGACAGCACCACCCGACGTATTGCGCTCCCCGATGAAGAGCCCGAGATCTTCTCGTCTGTATTGGAGTTCCTATACAAAGGGGACTACTTCCCTCGTCTTTTGCACAACAAGCGTCGCAACAGCTGGGAGCTCGAGGCAGCAACCGACGAGGCAAGGGGCTCGGTCGAATCGACCGTGTACCACCATGCCATCGACGGTGATCTGTTGAAGGACACGGTCATCTACTGCACAGCAGAGAAGTACGGCCTGGACGAGCTGAAGAGGATCGCTCTTCGAAAGCAAGGTCTGCGTACGTTTCCCCTTATCCGTCATCTCTCACACCACCTTGTCTGACCGAATCACAGAGTCAGGCATTCAATGCAGCACCATCCTCGCTTCTGCCCGCTACGCCTATGCCCACACTCCCGACTCGGACTCCCAGCTGCGCGCCCATTACCTCGCCCTCATCATTCGTAGTCGAAGCACATTTAAGAGGAGCGGCACCATGCAGTTGGAGATGTTCAACGGCAATACCCAACTGTTCTTTGATCTTTTTGTTGCTCTTTGCAACCATGTTGACGACATCACGGCCGCGTAAGCAAAGCAATGCGATGGTTCTTCTGGAAATTCATGGCTGACTGAGTCGACAGGTCTACACCCCGCACGCCTCGCAGCGGTCGACTCATGTAGCCACTACACTGCACGCGTCTCTGCTCAAACCCCAATGCATCTACTTACCTAATGATCTTTTCCAAGATGTCGTTTGACATCTTGATCATTCCTGTTCACTTCTCTTCCGCATTTCCTAGACATCTGATTGCGACACCAGGTCTCAGAGAGAAATCTTGACAAATACCATAAAACACGGCGTTTTCACGACGGGAAGGCGTTGGGTGGGTGTTTATTTTCTTGTTCATTTTTGCGCTGTTCTGTCACTTTGATTTCATCCCAAGACCCCCCATGTACAATTATAACCAAGACCCCGCGAGGAGGAAGGCCCCGGGCGCCGTCGATTCTTGGGAACTGACTTATACCATGAGATTGAGAGTCTCTGCAGTGAGCCCAACCGGCCTGCTGTGAGCATTGTACTGAAGAAGCAGATTGTCACGGAGGACGTGTGTATTTTTATTCTTGACGCTCTTTCTAAGATGATTGACGGAAGAGAAATTTTTGATTGATGATCACTATCTGATCGCGCTTCGCATTGTGAAGTGGCAATGTGCTCTGCAAGTGAAGCTCTCGATGTATTGCTGTGCCATGTGCAACAATCGGTGACACCTCTTGAGAGGACACTCGTTACCATAAATCGCACGCCGATCGCAAATGCGGGAAGCAGGAATCCGACATCCGGGCGCAGTTCCCCGACAGAGGCCTCACTGACAAGCCATGCACGTCTTGTGAACAAGTGCCCCCGCTCAAACGGCAGGGATGCGGCGTGGATCTTAGCTTGCCACACCATGTGTTTAGCATCTGGCGGGCGTTGTTTGCCTTTTTTGTGCTTTCAATGGTCCAGCATGCATTTGAGGGGTGGTGCACCGTGATATCGTGCGAGAGGTCCCTCGACGCGTGAGTCACGGCGCAGACCTGTAGCACTCCGCGAAACCACTTAAACCCCCTGTTTAGCTCGGGCTTGGGCTGGGAGGGGATTCCGGGGGAGTGTACCGGGATGCTGGGTTGGTGCGAGGAGGTCGTGCTCGGGCCAAGGCGGCGTGCGCGGGCGTGAATTTGGCCGCCTACTGTGAACTTGGTCCAGCACGCCACTTGCAGCAGTGATGAGGAAGAAGAAAAGGAAAGGCACACTCCTGCTCCCAATCTCGTCGACCTGACGTCTAGCGCAATGACTTGGACCGTCGGTCTTCAATTAGTGCACCAGACCAGGCTTGACCCGGCTCAGACATCTCAGCAGGCACAAGCCCGGTGTGCTATCTTGTCGAACAAGCCAATGAAATGGAATAGAGATAGGTATCACATACAATGCCGCCGCTTTAAATCGGAGAATGCCATTGCCAAACGCAAGACTACGGCTCGTTTGCTTCTCCGAAAACACCTTGGCTTCCCTGGGTGAGCGCATCCCCAGTCACTTGCTTTCCCAGTGTCCTAGATCCCTGTCCCGGGGAATGCGCCGTTTTTGGACAGGACAACTATGCCGTGTTCGCGTGAGATGTAACCCTTCATTAGATTCTGTATGTGCTGGTCAGCAACGGACTCTAGTGCGAGTGGGTTTGCGTTTGTGTAGGTGTGCCAATGATTGTGAAGAGAATGCATGGGTAGTAGCCTCGTGGCCTCGGGTAGCGAATTGACGCGATGCCATCAGCAGCTGCCTGGCAGACAAGAAACTGCCGATGAGGCTATAAAAGGGCCGGAAGCATGCAACGTCCGACGTCCGTCGATGCAGTGCAGCTGCAGGAGCACTGCTGTGCCTAACCGGCGACTCTTCAAGGCAACCATCTGAAGACACTGGCCGTTTCAAGCAAGGGAGGGATGCCTACCTTGTAGATCATATTCGCCAGCAAGCATTCGACCTCGTCCATATCCACCGTCTCACGGCTTCCAAGACTGATGGCAGCGGCAAACTCAGCAACACGGACACGGGTCTTGCGTAGTGGGGCGTCACCGGGGTTCTTGGGCTCCTCAAAGCCCTTGGTTAAAAACACTTTTCTCAACAGGTTTCGGAGCGTAATGTCACGGCCGCGCTCGAGCGTAAGGTAGATTCTGCGCTTGACGAATTCTTCCTCGCCCTCTTGGAGAGCGACATCAAATCCGTGAAGATCACCTCGCCTAATGCAGCGCGCCAGAGGGAGGAATAGGGCCTGGAGCCGGGGGAAAGGTTCGAGCAACGCTTTGCTGGGCAAAGTGTGCGTTGTCAATAGCCGACACGGGATCAGGTATGTGAGGATTCTCCTAATAACATGTTCAGTGGAAAGGCTACGCCAACATGATGCAGACCGACTTACTCCTTGTTACCAAGTGCATCCTTGTGGCATTGACTCCACGCTTCTGTCAGGTGCTTCTCGGCCTGAAATTGTTAGACCACGTTTTGGTCGCTGGGGGAGACCCAATGTCGCGTACCTCAACGTAGTTCTCCTCCAAAGAAGAACAGCACTCCCCTCGTAGTACTTGAAACGTTACCCGCTGCGGTGCGGGATACGCCTCGAGCGGCGCCCATATCAGCTCTATTTGTCGCCAGAGCCTTCAGAATCGTTCGTGCCAGGCTTGCCGAGTTTAATTTGAAGTAAGTCTTGAAGAGAAGGTTAATGGTAGCGTAGACTCCCCATTTGCGTGTGTCATAAATATCTGTTGAGCTGTTGCTTGGTCAGAGTGAACAGAAATGCATAAATTCAATGCCGCATACCGGTCGCTTAAACACAAAGTGAAGATGCGCTTCAGTTGCTGCTCGCAGTCCCTGAGCTTTTGATGCTCCTCTGTTTCCAGATCAAAGTCGTCGCCGAGTTGAACCTCTTCTTCGCCTGCAGCCCCTGTTGTGCTCCTTTCTGCGTCTGCCTTGATGGCGAAGAGTCTCAGATACTTGCCGGCCGTGTAGAGGCACGGTATCGTCCACGCCTCAAAGCCATAGTTTGTGTAGCCTCTGTGCAATGCAATCGTCATCTCCTTCCAGGCGTCGTAGACTTTGGTCCAGGATGGCTTCTTCAAACTCTAGAGACAATCAGCTGCTTATGATTTTAGGGCGACGTATTCTGCACACAAAGCACTCACTGAGTTGTCCGCGGCATCATTTCCTTCTACTGCCAAAATCTCGTTGATAGCCTTCCAGTAGGCAGCATAGACCTCGACCCAGCCATTGATCTGTTGCCTAACATCGCCTCGACTGCCAAATCCGTTCTTTTTGGAGATGGCTTGGGTCAGGAAGTGCTTGACATCCTGCTTGACATTGAATGCATTTGTTGACAGCTTGATTGATGCCAGCCGATGTAGCTGATCCGAGGGTGATGTGGGCGAAAGAGTCTTGGCGAGATCATAGCCGTTTGACCCTGTGTTTTCCGTAAAGGCACGGCCAACTTCCTTGAAGAGAGCCTCCATCACACCTTCGTGACCGAGGCCTAATAGAGATGGCTAGGGACACAGCGCAAAACCGTGGGCGCGATTTAGTCTTTCGATGACAAGGTTCGTGCGGATTAATAGCTGTAACTGTCCCTACAAATTAAGCCCCTTCAGTTTTGTGCTGCTACCAGTGAGCTGTCGATGAGCCGAGATATATGTTAACGGTGAGATCCCACTGCACCCGCCTCCAAGACAATCACTAGGATCTGAGGTCGTGGTACCTTCTCCACACATAGCGGGCCCTCGGACAGGTTGGTGGGAAATGTTCTTGTCGTACACCACCTCCCAGCCGCTTCGCCAGCTGGGAGCAGCTGGGTGGCGGGCAGGGAAGCCAACCCCACCATCATCACGTGCCGACCTCCCACCATCGGCGTCAACCTAGCGCATTCGAAAAGTGGATCTCGCTTAGGTCGTCGAAGCCCTCAAGATTTTGAACTTTTTCACTCTCTGCTGCGTCTTTGCGTCCCGACCCTGCAACCACCAACGATATCGACCGACGGCCATCGACAATACCGCCAAAGTGAGTTTGCTGCTTTCAATACCACTTTCTCGTCGACAATTTACTAACCACCTTCAAGATGGGTAAGCAGATCTCTATTCCTTTGCACAAGTGCGAGAGCCATCGATGTGCAATGTCATGAGCGACCGACGACAAAATCCCCCACGACTTTCCCGGATTGGATACGATACCCTACCTAATGGGTCAGCCATGCTCGAGCGCCGGAAGACGACCAGCAACGTGCTGGCGACCAATTTCGACTGGAGGAAAGCGGACGACCTTTGAATGTGTCTTCGACGTCGAATTTCGAGCACATCATTTGTTGGAGGGGCAGGTTGGGAATCGCAAGGGCATCTGCTGGATTTGACCATGTGCCGCGACCACTACACGACTGACGACTTTTTCCCGACCGGCCACTGGTACCTCCTTGACCATCGACACTTTTGTTTACGGCATTGCGCACACGATGGCTCATGAACGGCTGGCACGTAACGAACTGAAGAACTAACATTGTCCCAAGGTCGCCTTCAGGAATACGAGGTCATTGGGCGCCATCTGCCCACGGAGTCCCAGCCCACTCCCACCCTCTACCGCATGACCATCTTCGCCCCTAACACCACGGTGGCCAAGTCCCGTTACTGGTACTTCATGCGCGGCCTGAAGAAGGTCAAGAAGGCCACTGGTGAGATCATCGCCGTCAAGTCGGTAAGTAGTAGCACGACAAATCGAACAGTACGACGAAAACGGCCTCTAACGGCTTCTGCAGATCTACGAGAAGCACCCTCTCAAGGTCAAGAACTTCGGCATCTGGATCCGCTACGACTCGCGCTCCGGTACCCACAACATGTACAAGGAGTACCGCGAGATGAGCCGCACCGACGCCGTTGAGGCCCTCTACCAAGACATGGCCGCTCGCCACCGCTCCCGCTTCAGGTCGATCCACGTACGCGCTTCCACCCCGCGGCATCCCAGCCGCCGGAGACCGATTCTAGACGCTAACAGCATATCAGGTCCTCCGCGTCGACGAGCTCGAGAAGGGCGACGACGTCAAGCGTCCCTACATCAAGCAGCTTCTCACCAAGAACCTCTCCTTCCCCCTCCCCCACCGCGTCAGCAAGATCAGCAACCAGAAGCTCTTCAGCGCCAAGCGCCCCACCACGTTTGCGTAAACAAAAGCTTAAGTTTTTCGGGTTTCTTCGTCGCGGGGAAGGTTGGGCAGGTACTGCAGGTGTTTACTAGGTCTCATGGAACTACCACGTGCATTTGCTCCCTTGAACAGAGGGCACAACGAATCAACCAGGAATTGACGCATGAACTGCTTCCTCTACAGTAATCGTTACATTGATGTGTGGTGATTGTTCTACTTGTCGCTACCAAATTGTCTGTGCAACGCCACCTCACAACTGAGGCCTTGATTCAGGCGCCTCTTGTCTATTATTCACTCGGCGACCCCTCCACCTGCGCGTCAGCTAGAAACTCATTCCAGGTCGTCCAGTCCATAGAGGGATCACCTCCCTCGACAGGGGCAACCCATTCGTCGTACAACTCCTGCGCATTGTCCCATTGCCACGGCTCACCTAGGAAGGACAAGTCGGCTTGAGCGTCCCCTGCGTCTGCCGCATATGGCTCGGCGGAAAGTTGAGTCGCCGCAGGTAGCATGACAACGTCAGTAACACTGTCGTTATTTTCTTCCACCACCGCCACGCTCGTCCCATGCGGAGCATCCGTCACTCCGCTACCTCTCCTGTTCAGAGCTTCGGCCCGCAGGCCCCTCGCCTTTTTCAACAGCTTCTTCACCGGCCTCCACAGCGGCCCTTTCCTCGTGTCAGCCACCATACTCTCGAGTCTAGGGACCGCCCCCTCGACGACGACCCACGCCCTGTCAACGAGCTCGCCCTCCGTCTGCGCGCACAGCTCGGCCAGGGCCACGGCGAGCGGGTGCCACTGGGGATACATGTCGTACCACCAGTGGAAGCGCGCGGCCTGGGGGGTGCTGTCGTGCATGGTGGACGAGCTCGAGGACGGAGATGGCGGTGCGCAGCATGGTAGGGCGGGGTACGCGGAGGCGGGGCGGGTGGAGGGACGCGGGCGGTGCTGGAAAGGGGTATTGCAGGGAGAGCCAGAGCTTGAGGATGATGACCCTCGTCGTGATGCAGCCGGCCCGGCGGCGGGTGATGTCGATGCGAGGACGGGCCGTGACGGGTCAGGAAAGGGCTTCG